TGGGTCTGGCTGAGGGGCTCTAGCTTTATTTGTCCTCCCTATTCATTTCCATCTTCTGTTCACCCACCCAGGCGGCTGAGCTCTCCATCAAGTTTCTGCCTCCCCAGCGCAGTCTGGAAGTAGTTCGGGCTGTAGGACCCCAGCTGACTGGAATTAGAAAGCACAGTGCAGTAAGTAGGGTGCTGGGACTGAAAAGACAAGATTGCACTGAGATGGGTTGGGTGATGACATCACACCCAAAAGGTGTGTGAGGTGGCAGTGCTCTGGGGAGACAGAGAGGAGAGCTTACCGAGGGGAGACTTAGGCAGTCGAGGGAAAGATGGTCTCCACGTGGTTGGCCCATGTGCAGGCTGCTGAGCTCTCTCTGAACCTGGACCTTGTCAAGGAAGCGATTGATGCTTTTATTGAGGGTGAAGAGTGGAACAAGGCCAAGCGTGTGGCTAAGGAGTTAGATCCTCGGTAAGGTTATGACTCCTCTCCCTGGGACATCCTCTTTGACTTCTTTTGTAAAGACTGAGAGAAAGTTCTTATGGGGAAGGTACAGCACCCCTAAACCACAAAGCTAGAGCTCTCTGTGCTTCTTCACAGGTATGAAGACTACGTGGACCAGCATTATAAGGGTTTCCTCAAGAGCCAGGGCAAAGTGGACTCGGTGAGACTCGCAGTTAGTGGGAAGCAGAATGCAGGGAGAAGCCTGGGTGTAGCTCAGTGGCAGTACTTGCTTAGCTTGTGGGATCCCTAGCACCACAAAACAACAAAAACAGTAAAAGCAGAACGCAGAGAGCGGTAGTAGGTTCTCTCCCTCTCTCCGCCTGTGGGTCATCTCTCTCCTCTTGAGCTGTCTTTTCCGTCAATCCATGGCTGGTGGGCGTGGACGTGGTAGCTGCTTTGGACCTATATGCGGAGCAGGGCCAGTGGGACAAGTGCATTGAAACAGCTACCAATCAGGTACTGCTCTCTCCCACTCCCACGCCCTCTGTACACTTTCCCCTGATTCCCCCACTGCTCCAGAGCTGCCTCTCTCACCCCAACCAAGTCCCAGCCCCCAGAGACCCCTAATAAGCACCAGAGCTCAGCTTTCCACCCTCTGAAATTGGGGTCTCCCATGCCCTTGCCTCCGAATCACACCCATGGCCTCAAGTCACCACCCTCCCCCATGACCTGGTCCTCCAGACCCCTACCTGTGCCAAGCTTTTCCTCCCCACCCCACAGAACTGCAAGATTCTGCACAAGTACGTGGCTCTGTATGCTACTCACCTGATCCGAGAGGGTGGCTACGCCCAGGCACTGGCCCTCTACGTGCAACATGGAGGCCCTGCTAACCCACAGGTACCAGTCTTCTGCTTGGCGTGAATGTTTCCACCAGGGAATTCTTTCTTCCTCCTCTGGAGCTCCCCATCCCTTGAGGGATTGTCCTGAAGGACTCTGTCCCTGGACAGCCTCATGCCCATGTCCCCACCCAGCCTCTCTAGAAGGATTACCATTTGAAGAAATACCTACGCTCCCGGCTGATACCTAGGGACCTGTCTTCCAGAGAAGAATCCGCACACCCCTCAAGGGCCTTAACAGCTTTCTCTAGAGAACAAACTGCTCTCCTATGAGAAAATCACAGCTCTCTGAAGTATCAGCCCATTAACACTGTGCCAGCGTTCACACCCATACATTTGCCCCCACTCCCAAAGTATCATCCAGTCAGATTATTTTCTCACTCTTTTCTCTTCTCTAAAAATAATCAAAACTAAATCAAGTAAAAATAACCAGCACTTTGTCATTGCTCCGACTCCTACACACATAGCCTGTTTCTCCTCCCTTTGACCCCACGTCCACTGACTCACTTCGGCTTAAGCCCTTCACCCAGATCCCCCACCCCTGTCTCTAGAACTTCAATATCTACAAACGGATCTTCAGTGACATGGTCAGCTCTCCAGGGACCAACAGTGCCGAGGCCTATCACAGCTGGGCGGATCTTCGGGATGTGCTCTTCAATCTGGTGAGGAGGCTGGCCTGCCAGGAAAGGGTTCCTGTGCTGCCCCTTCCCCTCCCTCCTCTCATGCCCTGAGCCTTGGCCCACAGACACGTCTCCCTGCCTGTGTCCAGTGGCCATCAGTGCCCACTCCCTGGCCCTGGCCTCCTCTGACCTCTGAGCCAGGATGTGTTCTCGTCCTTCTCTAGTGTGAAAACCTAGTGAAGTCCAGTGAAGCAAACTCTGCTGCCCATGAGGAGTTCGAGACCATGCTGCTGATTGCTCATTACTATGCCACTCGCTCTGCAGCCCAGAGTGTCACACAGCTGGTGAGATGCCAGGGGGGTGCGATGAGCTGCAGGGTGCTGGGTACTGGGTACCTACAGACTTGAGGTTGAAGGAATCCAAGTTCTGGGCTGTTGGGTTTAGGCTTTTGGACTGCTGCGCTTTTCGTCAGTCTAAATCAGGCTTCAGCCCTTGCTGAGACAGGTTTTCTTCCCATATTGCTTTGAACGTTTTTGTTTTATTTTGTTTTTGTTTTTTGAGACCGGGTTGCACTATTTTAGCCCAGGCTAGCCCTGAACTTGTGATCCTCCTGCCTCTCCCTCTTGAGTGCTGGGATTATAGGTGTGCACCACCATGTGCAGCTTGCCTTGACCATCTGAGTCTCTGTCCACACAGCTCCGGCACCTTCTTATGTTTAGTTTATTTTTACTTTTTTTTTTTACAGTGCTGATGATTGAACCCAGGGCCTTGCATATGTTAGCCCAGTGCTGTACACTAAGCCACATCCTCAGCCCTGCCTCATAATTTTTGAACATTTGAGTCCCATGATTTCTTTTTTTTGGTACTGAGCTAAATCCCCGGTCCTCTATTTTTTTTTTTTTTTTTTTGAGACAGGGTCTCACTAAATTGCCCAGGGTGGGCTGAAACTTACATCCTGCTGCCTCAGCCTCCCAGTTGCTGGGATTACAGGCATGGACCCCCCCTGACACACACCAGTTTAATACTGATTGTTGGTTTCCTAGTTCTGCGCTGCCTTCATTGGAGAATCATTGGTCTGGTAGCTCAGTGACTGTAATGCCAAGATCATAAAGCTTTACCTTTAATCCTCAGGAAACTGTGGCTGCCAGACTTTCTGTTTCACTCTTGCGTCACACCCAGCTACTACCTGCAGACAAGGCCTTCTATGAAGCAGGCACTGCCGCCAAGGTGAGTTCAACAGGAAGGGTGGGGCTAAGAGATCCGGAAATGCAGTTGGAAGACAGGGAATATCCCTGGAGCAAAGCTGATTGTGGGGCTGATGTTATGGAAGATGAAACTGTCCTGTGTCTGTGCCTGGTTTTCTCCCTGCCACCTGGAGAAGTAGCACCAAGCTCAGCTTGCGCACCCGCATTTGGAACTTTTCTGTGTTGCAGGCTGTCGGCTGGGAGAACATGGCCTTCATCTTCCTCAACCGCTTTTTGGATCTGACCGATGTGAGTAGAGAGGTTAGGTTTGGCCTGTCACAGGCTGTGCCCATCTCATGATTATCCACTCTGCTGCAGGCAATTGAAGAAGGTACCCTGGATGCCCTTGACCACTCGGATTTTCAGGGTACAGACATTCCCTTTGAGGTGTCACTCCCAGCCCAGCAGCACGTACCCGTAAGTGTGCGGGGTTGAACAGCAAGGCCTCACCAGAGGGAGTGCTTTGGGAAGAGAGTTTGGGCTGCCATCTTTCCTGGGGCCTCACTACTGCTTAAGTGAAATCGAAGCAGTGACTGTTTGCCCCAGTGCAAAGTGATCATCATGGCTGAAAGCTAGTGTACAGGATGAGGGCTTAGCAAACTCCCTCCCCACCTGCGGTGCCCAGCCCTGCCCTGCCCTGTGTGACGACACTGCTCCCTCTGTGCTTCCCAGGAGGCCCAGCGAGAGGAGATTCGAGACTGGGTCCTCACAGTCTCCATGGACCAGCGGCTGGAGCAGGTTCTGCCTCAGGATGAGCGTGGCACCTATGAGGCTTCCCTGGTGGCAGTTAGCACTGGAGTTCGGGCACTGCCCTGCCTCATTACAGGTACGAAACCCCGCAGCACCCACATCCCGTGGCAGGTGGAACTGGAGGGGAACACAGCAGGATCAAGAAACTTCCCTTCATGGTGATTTAGTAAAGGCTGTACAAGGCAGGGAATCTCACTCTACCCCACTTTGTTCTTTGATTTACATCCTCACTCTGTCTCAAACCCTTGTTCATCTTTTTCTCTTCCCATCAGGGTACCCCATTCTGAGGAACAAAATTGAATTTAAGCGACCAGGGAAGGCTGCTGACAAGGACAACTGGAATAAGTTCCTTATGGCCATCAAGGTTAGAGAGGGAAACCCAAAGGCTAAGGCCAGGGAGCAGAAGTGGGGGAGGGCACTGGAAGGGTGGCTGGGATGGTTCAGAAGCAGGTGCAGGCCTCCAGTGGACTCATGTCCTCTGCACCAGCTCTGAGGGGCTCCTCTCAGGCTCTCCCCTTTGCTCACAGACCTCCCACAGCCCAGTGTGCCAGGACGTGCTGAAATTCATCAGCCAGTGGTGTGGAGGGCTCCCCAGCATCAGCTTCTCCTTTCAGTGATGGAGACCTGAGGAAGAGTTTGAGCTTCTCCTTCATTAAAGTTCTGTTAACTAATTGAAACCACTGTGTTCTCTGATCACAGCCAACCCGCAACACCAGCACAGTGCCCTTTCCCCCAAAAGAACTGTAATCAAGTAGAAGAAAAAAACATTCTTTTATTACAATTATTTATGTCATCCTGGAATCAGGGCCCTGGCTTAGTGGAAAAACACTTGTGGACTGAGCCATGGAAGAGCCTTTGCTGATAAAAGGAAGAACCAATCTGGGTCTGATGGGGAAGCTGCAGAGCAAAGAACCAGCTGTAAACAGGCATGGTGGTGCGTGTCTGTAATACCTGTACTCTGGGAGGCTGAGGCAGGAGGATCACAGATTGGAATCAAGCCTGGGCAACTTAGACCCTGTGTCAAAAGGGGGTGGGTAGCTCAGCGTGAAGGCCCTGGGTTTAATCTCCAGCACACATGAACACACAAGAACCCGCCACAGTCCCAGGAATGCTTCCCTGTCCCCACTCTCACCCCGACCCTCACCCTCAGAGCCTTTACCTGTCCTAAACCCAGGTTTTCTGTGATGCCCGGAGTTCACGATGTTGATCCAGAAGCTTCACATTTTCCTGCCATTTACATTTGGGAGGTTCCAGCTCTGTCAGATCCGCTAGCTACAGAAGAGAGTGGAGTTAGCACCCTGCCCTGAAGGGTACATCAGGTCCTTTTCTACACAGCCAGACTGTGTGGGGCGAGCCCTCCTGCTGCTCTTCCTTACCTGCTCCTGAAAGTCTTCCTTCTTGCAGGGCCCAACTCCCCTTAGGGTGAGCGCAGCCACACAGCAGTAACCAGACAGAGCAGCCTCAGCCGCAGACATGAGCAGAGAAGGGATCCAGAGAGCCAAGGCCGTGTCCTAAAGGTGAAAAGGATAGGGGCCTGAGAGAGACTGGGACAGGAGAAACAAGTACAAGAGATAAGAAGGGTGGGGCCTCGGCTTTGTGGAAGGCAAGAAGGAAGAGAAGAGGCTTACAAAGATTCTCGTGGTATCAAAGGGGCAGTCGGTGTGTCCAGGCCCCTGGTCCAGTGGTATGGAAGGATCCAGCAGTCCTGGATGGCAGTCAGCAATAAGTCGGCGGCCTCCGTTGGCCACAGTGAGTGACACAGCTAAGAGGAGGCCCACGGAGCAGGCAGCAGACACGAGCAGATTCGCCAGGGCCAGTCCCAGCAGGGCCCAGTGCTGGCGGGGCAGAAGACCAGGTTGAGAAGCCTGGGCCTGGCTAAGTCTCCCAGGGTCTCGGGGTCTGGCTAGACTCTCGGTTTCTCCGTCTGAGGCTTCTCCTGCCCATTGCAAGAGCTGAGACGCCCTGCCCCACGCTCCAGAAGACCCCTCTCACCAGTGGCGGGCGAAATAGGTTCTTGGATGCCAAGAGGGCCACAAGTCCCAGGGAAACGCTCTGCGGAAGACATCACGCCTTTGTGCCCCGGCTGTAGCCGAGCCCTCGAGCCCGCCCGCCAGCCCGCGGCGCTCACCAGGAGCCCCGAGCCCACGGAGATGACATTGGCGGTGGTGTACTCCGGCGTGACGGCACCGCGGGGGTTGGCCACGTGCCGTAGGACGGTGCCATGCAGCACGGCCCCCAGCACCAGGTTCAGGTGGCCCACTAGGATCAGCGCGAGGCCCACGCGCATCAGCCGCCGGGGCCCTTGGGTGGCGTCTGCCGGGGAGGGGGAGGGGTGGCCCTGAGCGCGCGGGCTGGGCAGCCGGAGGAGAGGGGCCCGGCGGCAGGGCCAGCGCAGCACGAAGGGCGGGAGGGCGGGCCGAGGGGACGCGAGGAGCGAGGGGCGGAAGTTACCGAACACGCAGAGGGAACAGCACCGCATCCTGGGAGCCGCTTGGCGCCGCCGCAGGGCAGCTCTACCGGGCCTGGCCTCGGGCCGCCCTCCACCTGAGGCCCGGCCCCGCCCCACCCGAGACCGGCCCCGCCCCACCTGAGACAGCGCCGGGCGGCCTCACCTGGGCCCCACCCTGACCCCTCCGTAGGCCCAGCGGAGGGCGCGCGCGCGCACACACAGGTCGCTTTTAGCAAAAAGTAGACTTTATTACAGCAGCAACTGAGGCGAATCGAATGGCCACCCAGGGCCACCACTGCAGCACCACCTTTCTCTCCCGCCCGTCTGTCCCAGCGGGATTGTAGGACACGGCTCCCGGAACGCCCACGGGCCTCCTGTTCACACAGGCTGGGCGGGAGCCGAAGGTCAGCTACTAGCCCCCCAGCTAGAAGGCGGCTGCTAAGGCCCAGGCCCACGTCTGTGCAAAACAAGTAAACAAAGTGCAGAGGGGAGGAAGACGGAGGGGTGGGATGAAGCTCAGGACAGGGAGCCCCCAAAGCCCTCCTGAATGATAAAGGAGAGAGGGGGCTTCACAGGGTAATACTGACTGGGGGGAAGGGGCAGCCACAGCTCAGATAAGGGCCTGGCCCGAGTGAACTCTAGGAGGAGACAGTGACAGCGGCCGAGTTGAGGGTGCTGTTCCTAGCAAAATTGAACTTGTTCAGGGTCTCCTCCAGCAGGGAAGTGAGCCGGCTCTGGTCAGCCTGGGGGGAGAAGCTCAGTGAGACAGGAGCTGAGAGAACCGAGGGAGGGCGGCAGCCAGGGCAGGGGAGGCAGGAAGCTCACTTCATTTATGAAGCCCAGCTGCACCAGCTCTGCTGCCAACTCAGGGATGTTCTCATCTGACAGAGAGAAGCAGGGTGAGTACAAGACCGGAAGCAGGACAGGGAGCCCCTCCAAGTGCTGCAGCCAACCAGCAATCTCGGTGGGTAGGCCTCATGTGCTACTGCCTTGTCTCTTCCTCTCCACAGCCCCTAGCTGGCCCCCAAAGGCTCACGGACCCACCATCCTCTGAGGGAAAGGAGAGACTCACTTGGCATCAGGTCACAGCTCAGGTGCCGGTTCAGTTTGTCCTCCAGCTTCAGCAGAAGTGTCAGCTAGAAAAGGGGACAGTCAGAATAAGGCTCCTCTTCCCTGATCTTCTGGCCACCCCGCCCTGTGCAGCCCAGGCCAAGCCTCACGTGGTGTTTGACTCCTTCCTCTACCGACTCAATGTTGCACTGCATCAGCACCACCTAGGACAGGACAGGACAGGACAGGACAGGGAGGGTGGTCACCAGCGTGAAGATCCCACACATGGATGCTTGTCCAGCCCACAGAACATGGCGGTAAGGAGGAGAAATGCACTCTTTTCTCTAAAGGACAAAGCCTTATTGAATATGTCCCTTCTCCCATGACACGGACACATTCACACTCAGCCCCCACCTTGCGGGTTTCCACCTCAGCTGGCTCAGGTGTTGGCGTCTTGACAGAAGGGGGCACAACTGGTGATGTCACCTCCTCCTGCTGTGGCTGCTGGGGCCGAGGCAGGCCAAAGGCTGTCAGGGGGTAGATCCCATTCCTGGAGGGCAATGCAGACAGGTCACATGGGCTCTGTGAATGCCTTAGGATACCTGGTCCTACTTGCTCAGCCAAGCCTGCCTTCCCAGGCTTCTCTCACCTGACATCTTCCAGGAATTTGTCTAATTCCAGAGCCGGTGACTGGGAGTACCTGGAGAAGAAAGGTGACAGAAAGAAGGAAACAACAAAATAGCAGATTCAACCTTTCCCAGGTAAGGGGCAGTTTACAGAGCCCTAGGGTGGTGGTGGCCAATCTGTCCCCTTTAGACCCCCTCAGTTTGGTTACTCACAAAGTCTGAACTGGTTCTCTTCCTGGTCCGGCAGGGATTTCAGCCAGTACAGCACTGGTGTCCATGTTTTTGGTGATTTCCTCCAGAGCATTCTCTGGGATCATGTCTGGAGGACAGGATGGAGTGGGATGTTAGGAAGGGTTAGGGCAGGGTCACCAAAGCCATGGAGGCACAAGGGTAAAGAATCCCTTTGAAAGTAGGAGGGGAAAGAGCGTTCCAGTGAGTTACAAGGCTCCAAGTTGTGAGAAAATTCCCAGCAGGGTCAAGGGGACTCACGTTGGTGTCCCACAATACAGTGAGCAGCAAGGAGTTTGAGTGAGGGCACTTCAAACAGTGCTGGGTGGAACAGAAGTTCTCTGGCTGTTGGTCTTCGAGCAGGTGCAGGTTGCAGGCATTTCTGAATGAACTCCTAGAAAAAGAAGGAATGGGAACAGGCCATCTAACTTAGCACAAGGCTTGGTCCACACAAGCTGCTTTAGCAACTGTTGAAGAAACATACTCATAAATGTACCTGAAAGGGCTTGGAAAATATAAAGATAGGACTTTCTGGGTTTTATTATTTTTCTGCTTTTCAACCACAACCTTTCTTTTTTCTTTAATGTTTATATATTTTTTATTTTATTAGCCCACTCACTGCCTACGTTTCTTCTGCAATCCTCATCATTTAATTTTTCCCTTCTCAAACTTAACCCACTGTGTAATATTTTTTTTTGGTAAGCCTAGTATAATTTTTGTCCTCTACAACCACTGAATTCACTGGATTTCCCATCATGCCTCTAGCCATTCTGCTTCCTCTTCTACCTCTTGTAGGACCCAGTGCTTTCTTTCCATCTGCCAGGCCAATAAAATCACATACCTAATAAATACTTCACCTGAGTTAAGTATGCCTTCCTAATATGAACAGGAAACTTACTCCACACTGTCCTCAAGACTTCCACTAGTCTTCCTTTTCTCTCCTGCTCCCCATTATGCTTCTCTAATGAGCTACAAACTGTTCATATTTGGATCTTCCTGTTCAGACTCTTAACTGCAGTTAATCTATTGATAATAATCCTTAGATTCTTTAAATCTTAGCTCATTATTTCAGGAAACCTTCCCTAACTGTATGATTCTAAAATCCCAAATGACTGATTTAATTAATGTACGTGTAGAGGGGGTGGTGAACGAATGGCACACGTGCCACAGCAGGCTGTTTGTTATCACTGAAAGCTCTAAAAGGTTGGCCATCGCTGATTTAGGACAAGATGTTTGTCTAAGAGTTTATAGGAACTGTCTGCAGTAATGAAATTAATTTATCTCTGTGTAAACACACTTCAATTAACACATGCCTTTTAACCCAACTTAATCCCCAGTATAATATATATACAAAAGCATGGTAGGCACCCCCAAGGGAAAGTTTTTGTTTGTTTGTTCTGGTGGTACTAGAAATTGCTCACACATGCTAGGCAAGCACTCTACCACTGAACCATATCCTCAGCCCTTTTTATTTTTCATTCTGAGACAGTGTCTCCCTAAATTACACAGGCTAGGCTCCAACTTGTGATCTTTCTGCTTCAACATCCTGAGTAGCTGAGAGTACCAGTGTGGGCCACTACACCCAGCCTGCAACTCTGTCTTTCCTCTTCTCCTTTATGTTCTCTTGCTCTTAGAAGAGAGCAAATTCCCAGTGAAGAAAAACCTGAAGATATCTGAAAGTCAGTTAAGGAAGGAAGGAGCAATCCTGAAGACCCTTACCCTCTGTAATGAATCTTCTAGAAGCTGGATGGCACTGCTGATGGCTTCCTGTGGCACATACGAGGACTCTCCATTGCCCTGAATCTCTAGCACTGCCATCTGCAGTGAAGAGGAACCCAAAGGAAAATGAGAGCCCTAAGAACCTGGGGGCTCCCACAGTCACTCCCCAAGACCATCATGTTCCTTGTCCTCCCTCCATTTCCCCTTTCCCCCTTTCGTCTTCTAATATCACCCTCCTTTTTCCCCATTCTTCTAGTATTCTCACCTCCAGTGCACACATGCCAAAGGAGTAGATGTCCACTGCTGTTGTCACATTAGTGACTTCTAGGAAAAACAGAGGGCTTAGTGAGGAAAAGACTGGGTACAAGGGATGCAAAGAAAAGTACTTTGTATGCTCAAAGAGGACTAGAAGTTTGAGTTGTATAATACCTCTGTACCTTAGGTTATAAAGTGCAAAACCAGGCCATGAGGACAGGGCAGAGAAGTAAGGATGCCTCACCTCCATACTCTGGTGCAAAGAAGTGTAGATTCTTCTGCTCTTCCCGACAAGTCTTCACGTGATTGTTGATAGTGTCAGGAGCCACTGGGAGTAGGGGAGATACTCACAATCTGACCACCATCAACAAAGCATAACCTTATTCCAGAGAGAGGCCCCCAAAAGCCAAACTTCTCTTGAAGTCTCCTTTCTAATCCTCAACAGGCACAAACCTATCCCACTTTCCACCTTGAAGTACAGAGCACACATGGACGCCACCTTCCTCAGGCCTACTGCTTCTCATCTAAGGTCCCTAACTCAGGAGCAGCAAAGGCACTGCATTACATTAGCAGACACATGGGGGTTTTGGGCTGGTCAAGAAGGAATCCAGACTAATAAAAACTTCACTTGTGACCTGTTCACCTTCCCCATGACCCACATACATCTAATCCCTGACCCCATGAAAATGGTTTTCTTTCATCCACACAGCAATTAACATAAAAACAGACATCTTTTCTTAATGTAGGACAACTAGAGACCCCAGGAACTTGCATAAAAAAAGGTAAAGAATCATTAGTACACAACCAAGGAGCTAGCCTCCTTTTTACTCACCACTGCTGACTAAAACTCAAAAATAGCTCAGAATTGAACCAATACCCTTGAATTATTTTCATTTTCAATCCCCCAAAAACCTTAGACCCCTGTTCTATGTTCTTATTCTTCAACACTGTTGGCCACAAGGCTGAACAAGAAACCAGGGCCAGGCTCAAATTGGACTCACTCCGATCATAAACAATGACTAGATGTCACAGAGAATCTGGGAGCACAGTATGATTTGAGGAACCAGCCTGATGATGAGGGGTAATATGAATCTAGTAGGTAAGTGGCCAGCCAGGCAGAATCCACAGGAAACAAGCAGGTTATGAAGGGGCAAGCATGTGGAGAGCTGGCAGGGCAGAAGCTAAGCAGGCATAAGTAGGCAAGGGAGGTAAGGGACAGGCCTTGCTCCCACGACTGCATGCACTGGGCAGCCGCAGAGGGAGAAGAGGGAGCACAAACAGAGCCCCAAGTGGGGCAGAGGGAGCTCTCACCATTAGCAAAAATCCTATGAAAGACTGTTGGGAACAGAGCAGCCCGTAAGCGGGAGGGAGGAAAACAGAGAAAAGTTGTGAGCGATGGAGCAGCCAAGCCCCAGACGAATGGACACACAAATCCACACCAACACAGCACACAGAAATGTTGCACACTGCACACAGATACACAGCAAATGAAAGCACTCACAGCAAGTACAGCCTGGAATCTCCTCCGGTAGGGTTTGACCACAGGGGCTCAAATCGGATCTCACATCCATCTCTTACCCTTTCCCAACCTCCTATGAGTATCTCTGTATTAACCCCAGTTTCCCTCCAAAAAAATACAAAATTATATACTCGCCCCTCTCTATAACTGGCCTCTTCCTATGCATTTCTCTAGCAAGGTCCTATCTCTTCTCGCCAGCCCACACCTCAGAATTTTGCTCCATTCTCCCCCATGCCTTTCAATCTTACCCCCACGGTTCCCAAATTCCCGAGGGTCCCCTCCCCAGAACCTCTCCCTCCCCTCACCAGAGCCAATCTTGATGAGTCCATTGTGCTGGATGAAGATGGTGTCACAGGTCAGGTTCCCATGGATGATGGGGGGATCACAGGAGTGCAGGTAGCTGTGGGGGCACTGGGCTGTTAGAGGGGCCACTGGGAAATTAAGGGCAGGGGGAACCCAAAGGTTAAAGAAAAGCAAGGGACAGGACTCCTGCCTGTGACCATAAAGATAATTCCCACACTCTGAATCTCCATTATGCCTGATGATTTAAATAGCTGGATAAGCACTAGGAGAAAGAGGTAGGAGACCCCTAGGGTCCTCATCTTGACAGTACATGACTCAACAAATGGGGAGAGGAAGAATAGAACAGTAGAGTAGCGCCTTGAAATTCGTTTGGAGGAACTAAATCAGGAGATACAGAAAAGCAAGTAACCAGGTTCTACTCACCTTAGGGCAGAGAGGATCTGTGTGCACCAGCGCTTCCAAGCCTGGAACAGGGTTTGATTCAAGGCTCAGCAGGAATCTCCTAACCCTCCCACCAGTCCCCCCCCCCTTTAATCAGCTTCATTAACACAATCTCTTTTTTTCCCCCAGTACCACGGATATTAATAGAATCTTTTAATGCCCCAAGCCATCCTAAAACTTGGTCTGCCACCCTCTTTTCACACCTTTTCATTCATAGTCTTGTGGTTCTTTTTGGTCTTCTTCAGAAATTGCTTAAGACTCCCAGATGACATGTATTCTGTGATAAAAATAACCTGGGGAGGCAAAGCACATACTGTAAGGCTTCATAGTAGACATTCTTATCTGGGGAGCTCTACACCAGAAATATACCAAATTTTGTACGTTTCCTTCACCTTTCTCTCCTTTCAACTCTCTCCTTTGTTTTCAGTACCACTTCCTTAATCTGAGCAACACAATGAAAAATGACTCGACAAGAGCTATGGGAAGAAGGAAGCAGAAATTCATTTCTGCCCCATCTTTAACCAAACATAGCCATATGAAAGGAACAGATGGGAGATAAAGTCCTGCTCTCACCACCATAGTGGCTAATCCCAGTTCTGTTTCAAAAATACCCCTTTTAGGGCTGGGGATTTAGCTCAGTGGTTCCGCCGCCTGCCTCAAAAGCAGAAGGTCCCGTTCGATCCCCAGTACCAAAAAAAAAAAAATACCCCTTTTAAATCTCTGGATATAGATCAGAAAAAAACAGGAAAAAATTCTTACCCTGGCCTTGTTCTCTTTAATGTCAGCCCAATACTTGTGAAACTTAACAATGTTGAGATGTTCCAACTGAATCAGATTATCAAACACAGCTCGGACCTTTTCCTGGAGCAAGAAAGTTAGTATGATAATAGAGTTCGTAAATCACTGAAATTAATCCTGAAAAGACATTTCTCATCCTTTCCCAGAAATGATCTAACCAAACATATTCTCCTCATAGTCAGCTTCCCAACACCAATTCCTCTTTAATATCAGATTCTGATGCCCACCTGGCTCTACCGTTTCACCAACACCTACCTCCTGCAGCTTGTAGTTCTTGCGCTCAGAGAACTGCACCTCATTCCACACAACCTCCACACCCTCCTCCGTGTCCATGGCCAGGTATGCACTGTCAATACCTGGTACATTCCGCTGATTCACCTGAGAAGTAATTCAAATGGAATTCCAGTTACAACCACTCCATTTTAATATTCCATATGATCATCTTCTCCTACCTGCCAGGGCCTGCTCCTTTGAGAATGTCTCCTCCAGTTCTCACTTCTTAGAATTCACTCCCCCGGGGAGGGTACTGCCATCACTTTACCTCTTCTCGCCTCTTCTGCCAGCGCCCACAGGGTGACTCTTCCAAGATCTCAGATTCATCTTCACTTTCTTCTTCTTCCTCTGGGGAAGCAGCTGAGGTGGTGGAGGTCACGGGAGGTGACACTGATGTCAGGCCAGGAGCTGAAGATGAGGATTCTACCTTTGGGTCTGAGCCACTGCTAAGTACTGTCTGGGACTCCCCCTCCGACATGCTGGAAGAAATACTCAGGCCTGTGTCAGTTGGGGTGAGAACAAAGGGAGAAGACAGAGAAGGTCAAGATAGATTTATGACCATTTAGATGGACTTGGTGGCAAACGCCTGCAATCCCAGCATTCAGGAGGCTGAGGTAAGAGGACTGCCATGAGTTCGAGGCCACTCTGGGCCACATAGTTCAAGGTCAGCCTGGACTACATAGTGAGACCCTATCTCAAACAAACAACAAAAAAAGATATATAAAGACTTAATAAACCTAATGACTTCACCTGCAAGTTCAAAAGAAAATAAAACACATACTTCTCCTGTTTCCTTTCAAATCCAAAATCAGAACTGTGCTTATCTAACCACTGAAACATGACTCTCTATAACTCCAGAAAGGATGCTATCTTAGTTGAAGATAACTTATACAAGGATGGCAAACACAAGCTATATGGCAGTATAAATCCCTGCAGTAAGGTCCAAATGAACACCAAAACCAGATCCCCCATGCCCTCTGAATCCCATGAACCCCTATTTGCACTGTACTCAAGAACAAGGCTAGGGCCGGGAATTTAGCTCAGTGGTTTCACTGCCTGCTGTGCAACCACAAGGACTTAGGGCAGGGATTTAGCTCAGTGGTTTCCCTGCCTGCTGTGCAAGCCCAAGGACCTGAGTTCGATTCCCAGTACCAAACCAAACAAAACAACAACAAAAAACAAGGACTTGAGTTTGATACCTGGTATCAAGGAAAAAAAAAAAAAAAAAAGAACAAGGCTACCTGGGCAATATTAAGAACAGTTAGGCCGGGGATTTAGCTCAGTGCTTCTGGTGCCTGCCTCGAAAGCGCAAGGTCCTGAGTTCGATCCCTGGTACCAAAAAAAAAAAAAGAACAGTTGAGGGTTGGGGATTTAGCTCAGTGGTTCCGGTGCCTGCCTCACAACCGCAAGGTCCTGAGTTCAATCCCCAGTACCAAAAAAACCCCCAAAAAACAGTTGGGCCGGGGATTTAGCTCAGTGGTTCTGCCACCTGCCTCAAAAGCACAAGGTCCCAAGTTCGATCCCCAGTACCAAAAAAAAAAAGAACAGTTGACTCCAGACTCCAAAATGTTCCACTGAGCTGGCCCTAAGACTGTACCACCCTCAGCCAGCTTATCCAGCTGAAACTCTCGCTGATTTTTCTAGCTTAAACTAACCTTGACATTCACTATTCATGCCTTCTATACACAGAATAAGCCTGCTAGTCATTAGTGAAGCTACGCAGGTTGACTGGAATTGGTTAGTGACTTCACACGGATGAGCTCACCTTCCCTATGATATGTGTGTGGCAAATGGGTATCGGTTAGCAACATTGTTTTTCCATTCACTCATTCAATAAATGTTTAGTACACACTTATTATGGGTCACACACTGGGCAGGTAATGGAGACATAATAATCAGCAAAATAAATGAAATGCCTACTTATGGTGCCACAAAATCAAGGCAGATCTAGGCTTCAAGCTTCCAGCTTTCATTTCATCCACAGGCTCTAAAACCCAAGTCTGGAGATTTTTATTAGATGACATTCTAGTAAATACTAAAAAGCAACAAATCACTACCAAAAAACAAAACAAAACAAAGAAGAAACTGGCAAGATATTCTTTCCCTATGTTAATTTCTAGGTCTTTGCTATCTTCGATTCAAGTCAGCCAGCAAAGATACTACAGTATCTGCGTGGTTTAGTAATCTACCGGAAAAGTTGGATTAAGGATCATTCCCTTCTCCCTCTGAAAAGTAGCCAAGAAAATACTGTAGTATGAAAGTCTGTATCAGTTACTTCCTAGAGCATCTATATTCACAGACGTCACCTAAAATCTGAAGAGCTAAGTAAAATTTCCAGCTATTACAACAGGAGATACTAGTGGAATTTTAACACAAAAGGGGTGTAACCAATGGGATCTAAACTTCTGGACCCAGCCCACAAAAGAGCACCCAGAAGTCAAGCCGCATTCTAAGAGAGATGCCCTCTCAGTGTGCTCGCATACTCCCTCCCCAGTCTTGTCCCAGTAGGCAAATGGAGGGTAACGACCAAATCCTCCAGCGCTCTTCCGATTTAAGACACCTTTGCGACCCACACGGTTCTGCCTCAGGGTTGCCGAGAGGCTGGATGAAGATCACACTAGGGAAAGGCCATTTACATCCATCAGGCCGTCTCCTCCCCGTCCCCGACCACCCCGAGGCGCACAGAACGCTCACTGTGGCGCAGGGTCGGCCGTCCCGCAAAGCTGTAATCCCAGACTTTCGCTGAAAGCTCCAAGACTTCAGAATGCAACCCTCTGCTGTCAACGCCTCGCAATCCCTCACAGCCACAGGCCTCCCGGCTGTCCTCACCCCGAGCACCCCTGAACGGCCTCGGAGGCCCGCAGCTGTCCAGTCGGATAAAGCAGCTCGGGGAACGAAGAAGGCCCTCAGCGCGCCACACTCCAACAGGTCTCCCTGCCAGGTCCCCGCCAGCTGCAGCCCTCGGGCGCACGGGGCCGGGCGCGAGAGCGGGCAGCGCGCCTCGGCCACCTCATCAAAGGCCGGGTCCCGGCCCCGTCAGGCCGCAGGCCACGCCCCCGCTCACAGGCCCAGCCGGGGACGCGGCGCTTCCTTCCGCAGGCCGCGCACCGGCCCGGCCGCCCCCGCCCCCGCCCCGGCCCCGCCTCTCGCAGCCGGAGTTCCAAGCGAACCCCGGGGCCTCCCGCCCCGCGCCCGCAGAATTCCAGGCCGCCGCCGCCGCCACACAGCGAGAGAGGGGCGTCTGTGAGGCCGAAGGGCCCCCGAGCTCCCGCGGGCTGAGGTGGACGGGGCCTGGCTGCCGAGTGAGGAGGACCGCCTGCAGCCCTCGCCGGCCGGGTACCCCCGTCGCGGACTCGGGGTGATCCTCCGGTCCTCCCGCGAGACTCCCTCCCGGGCCTCATTCCCTGGACGCTCACCTCCTGACCCCGCGCCTGCAGCCTGCGCTTCAGCTCCAGCTTGGGTTCCGGGGCCCCGGATCACAGCGACTCCTTCACAGCTGCGCTCCGCAGCGCAACCGAACTGTGGGCCCCGCCCTCGCGGCGTCTGGACCAACAGATGGGAGGTGCCGCGCCGCGGCCGGTCTTCCATTGGACAGGGCGGCGGGGGGCGGTGCCCGCACACGGTCGCTCACCCGGCCATCTTTAACCGGGTCTCCTCCCCTTGCGCCGCCGGGACTGACACCTAGCCGAGGGCTCGTATTTTAGGTCTCCGCCAGGACTGTCTCTCATCCACCTCCTCCGCCCAATCCAGGTGCCCCCCGTGATCCCGCTGGACGAAAAGAAGGCCTTCTCCCTCTTCTAGAAGGCGCCATGACAGTTCTAATGCCACGAAAAGACAAAAGGAGCGAAAGACCTAGTCCCAGTCCAAGGAGAGAGCCCCTCACCTTCACTATTTAGGGATGAGACTCTGCACAGGACCCCAATTCTTCAGGAAGGTTTTTTTTAAAAAAGCACTCAGCACTGAAAATCAATAGTTGACGCTTTGCACACACTATATGCGGAAACTTTACAAGAGGCTTTCACAGATGTCTCATTTGATCTTCCTAAGAATGGACTCGTTGACATTATCCAGTGATTGAGGACAAATGCCAAAAAAAAAAATCTACCTTAATCCGAGGCATTACGTTGTTTATCGAAATGAACTTAATGAGCTAAATCTAGAATCTGAAACAAATTCATCAAAGCCTTCCTTTGAGAAGGTGGAAAGAATTTAGATTGACTGTGAGGAAGTAGAGAGAAAGGATGGTAGATTCTGGGTGAACCATCGATGTGCGAAAATTACTCGCGGAGCCTGAAGGTGGGAGTTGATTCTGGGGTTAGGGAGGGAGAAGGGTAAATCAGTCATCCAAGCTTGGGAATGTCATGACCACCAAATTTCACTGCCCTTACCTTAAAGGGAATTTCTAACCCAATTTCACAGGGAGAAAGAAGGAAATGTGGAAGAAGTTCATTTTTTCCACCTCAAAATATTTGTTCTAAAAGCGAAATTTTCACCCCTCCTTGGATTATTTTACTTTTGAAAGAACTCAAGCACCTGTTTTAGAAATTTGATGAAAGTTTTGGACCTTACTTTGGATTAAAAAATTCATTTACCTACCAAATTTAGCAGTTTTGGAGCTGAGGTTAAAAATCTTTGTTGTAATCTCAAAGGGAAGGACATTCCACCTCCTCTCCAGATTAGCCTTTTCATAGGCTTCAAAACAACTGGAACACCTGAGCCATGGTAAACATTAAATATAAAAAAACATTAAATATCACTCATGTTATCATCATAATTTCCATTCTTTTCTCCCTGGGGTCTTAGCATTACCAACCTTTCTCTCCCTTCCCTCCCTCTGTCTCTGTCTCTCCTCTTTTTGGGAAGGGGTTGGGAGGGGGGAGATGGATGTCTTTATGTTCTCCAGGCTGGTTTCACACTTGGCATTCTCCTGCTTCAGCCTCCCAAGTAGCTGGGGTTCTCTTTACTCAGATATGCATGGGGGGGCGGGGATTTAGCTCAGTGGTTCTGTCACTTGCCTCAAAAGAGCAAGGATCAGAGTTCAATCCCTGGTACCAAAAAAAAAAAAAAATGCATAGAGGACCCTTTGGCATCCTCTCAAACTCTCATCTTATTTATTTATTTTTTTTGTTACCGGGGATGAACTCAGGTCCTTGCACTTGCACAGCAGGTGGCGAAACCTCTGAGCTAAATCCCCGGCCCTCTCATCTTATTTTTAACCTTTCATTCACATTTAAAATGATCAAATACTGCCTACATTTTCACCAACTCATTTATTTACTTTTTCACACTTACAAAAGTAGTAAATACATACTTCTTGTAAAAAGTCAAAATATTGTTCCGGGGATTTAGCTCAGTGGTTTCAGCACCTGCCTCGAAAGCGCAAGGCCCCGAGTTCGATCCCCGGTATAAAAAAAATAAAGTAAAAATATTTACTAAACAGTATTTATATAGCAAATTGTACAAGCTAGGCACAATTTTAATTCCTTATGACATCAATTCATTTAATCTTTATAACAATCATATAAAAATTAATTATAAAAAGTGAAATTTTGGCCAAGACAGGAGGATCACCATGAATTCAAGGCCAGCCTGAACTACGTAACAACACCCTGTCTCAAAAAAACTCAAAATAATAACACCACACAAGCTAGGAATAGTGGCATAGACCTGTAATCCCAGCTACTCAGGAGGCTGAGGCAGGAGGATCATTATACATTCACTGGGCCAAGGATTTAGTTCAGTGGTTCCGCCACCTGCCTCGAAAGTGCAAGGTCCTGAGTTCAATCCCCAGTACCAAAAAAACAAAAAAGAAAGAAAAAGAAAAAAATAAATAAATTCAAGGTCAGCCTGGGCAACTTAGCTAGACCTAATCTTGAAATAAAAATAAAAAGGGCTAGCAATGTAGCCCCTGGGTTTGATCTCTAGTACCACAAAAAACACAGTCCCCATCTCATGATACTTCAGTTTATAGCTTTTGGACTTTATGATGATGCCCCAGTAGTGACACACATTCAGTAGAAACTGTATGTTCACTTTTGAATTTCAGTCTTTTCCCAGACTAGTGATAACTGCAGGATGGACTCTCCCAACGCTGGGCAGTGCTCCCAGTGAGCCACGGGGTCGTGAGTGCACTGTCTGCTAAGCTATGAGGGTAGGTGTAGTAAGTGCAATTTCTACTTACAATATTTTCTTCTTATTTTTTGGTACTGGGGATCGAACTCGGGACCTTGTGCTTCCGAGGCAGGCAGTGGAACCACTGAGCTAAATCCCTGGGCCCTACTTACAATATTTTCAATTTATGCTTGGCTTATCAGGGTGTAACTTCATCATAGGTGGAGGAGTATCTACATGTGGGCTGAGTGAAAAGAACCATATTTTCTTTAAGGGGGGAACATTACCTGGGAAGCTGTGTTGAGCTGAATAATGGCCACCCAAAGACACCCACATTCTAATCCCTGGAGCTTGTAAATGTTATCTTATATGGCAAAAGGGATTTCCACATCTCTAAGGACTTTGAAATGGGGAAGATGGTCCTCAATCTCAGAGCTGGCTCTAAATGTAATCCCTAATGTCCTTGTAAGACTTGACCACAGAAGGAAGGAAATGTGACCATGAGGCAAGAGACTGAAGTGACACCAAGAATTCAGGTACCCTCTGGAAGTTAGAAAGGCAAGGGCAGATTCTCTCCTTTGCTCCAGAAGGAAGCACTGTTGGTAATACCTTTTTTTTTTAGATAGGGTCCCACTATGTAGTCCAGGCTGGTCTCAAACTTGCACCAATCCTCCTGCCTCAGCCTCCCAAGTGCTGGGATTACAGACATGAGCCACCATGCCTGACTAATATCTTTGCTTTAGACCAGTGAAACTAATTGTAGCTGTCTGGCCTCCAGACTATAAAAGAATAAATCTATGGTGTTTTAAACCACCAAGTTCATGGTGATTATTAGAGCAGACATAGGCAACTAGTACATAAGTTTTTCCAGAGAAGATGGTTTACCTTGGTTTTAAAGGATAAATAGGAATCCAATGAGCAGGTAAGGAAGAAGAGTCTAAGACTGAATTCTCCTTTTCTCTCATTTACCAGTATTGCAAGACAGGAACTTGGACCATGATATCTATGGTTGTCATCTCCAGCTTCGGGAAGATGTCTCACTCTTCAGCAGCAAGAGTTGAAGGTCCCAGCATGGGTGATAATGTTCTTCCCTTTGCCTCACTCTGGCTTTGCAGTTTGAAATTTAATCTTTGTTTTTACAAAGTTTGTTACATCGGAGAAAAAAGAGATTTTCCAAGAAGAGAGGACATTCTTAAGTAAGCAAATGAGAAAACTAGAGAAAATGTCCAATCTCTGATGTATATTTATATTTTATTTTAAAATTTAATTAATTAAGCTATATTAGGGGTTGAATCAAGGGCCTTTGAAATGAGCAGATGATCTGAGTGGACCCCAGTGTCGCTGGAACCTTGGAAGCGGTCCTTCCCTGATGACAAGCACACAATTGCACCTACATCTGTGGGCTCAGGGCACTGTGTCAGCCCCCTTTTATTGTGGACAAGGATCTGCTGGAACCGCAGTGCATCTGTGGAGCTTTCTCTCACCCCTTGGAATATCAAGATGAGTTGGGGATAAAGCCCCCTAGGAGGTCTTTCTCCAGTCTGTCTGGCACAAGTAAAACGCTGTTAGTCAAAGCAGCAGCAAACCAAAGCTCAACCACTTTCTTTTCTTTTTTTTTTGATACAGAGGATCGAACTTGAGAATTTGTGCTTGCAAGGCAGGTGCCAGAACCACTGAGCTAAATTCCTGGCCCTCAGCCACTTTCTTTTTTTTTGGCAGTACCGGGGATTGAACTCAGGACCTACGCTTTCTAAGCAGGCGCGGCACCACTGAGCTAAATCCCCAGCACTCAGCCACTTTCTTGAGAGTGGTTGGCTGTTTGTTCAGAAGTACCTGGGCGATGGGCCCAAACTCATAAGGGAGTTGTTTTGAGTTGCTTAAGTGCACCATCCACCATTTTTTATTGATGAAATCAATGCCATTGGGACGAAAAGATATGATACTCTGGAGGTGAGAGAGATGCAGTGAAGAGTGTGGGAACTTTTGAACCAGTTTGATGGATTTGATTCACAGGGAGACATGAAGGCTATGGGCACAAACCAAATAGAAACTCGGGATCCAGCACTGATCAGACAAGGGCGCATCTGCAAGATCAAGATTCCCCCGCCAGATGGAAAGGCGAAGAAGAAGAAGTGCATCTCTCAGGTTCACACCAGCAGGATGACACTGGCCGGTGATGTAACCCTGGACAACCTGAGCAGGGCAGAGGATGAGCCCCTGGTGCTGACATCAAGGGATCTGTGCAAAAGCTGCTCTCACAGCCTTGAGAGAGCCAGAAGGAAAGTAATGAAGACTTCAAAAAATCTTTCAAATGTTCTGTATGAGAGGGCACCCCTGAGAGACTCTCTCCTGAACCACAGTTGCCTTCAGGAAGGTAGTTGGGACTTTTCCTAGCCCCTGGGAAGGATGAGATTGGGAACGTGCCTGAGGGAGACCATGCTGCAGTTGATTTTTATTGACAATGTGTGGTGTTTCTTTTCCAGAATGGCACATTGGATGCCCACGGATGGCCTTGTCTGTGCTCGCTGTGATGCTTGCTCTGTTTCCCAATAAAGTGTGCTCTCTCACAAAAAATTAAATAAATTAAAAAATGTTTAAAGCTCAGGTGAAACATATTTTGATATGCCAGAAATAACTAAAGGGGTAAAAACAATGTCACTGAAAGGCCTTTATAAATAACTGAAAAAAAATGCTTGGGAAACTCGTTTCTGAGCATGGTGGTATAAACAGGAACTAGACTTATCCTCCTCCTTAAACATGTAGAAAGCTGGACCAATTATATAAAGCAATGGTTTCAGACTTTGGAAACCAGCCAGTGCAGGGTAGCAGTTCCTGAGATAAGGGAAACATGAAATTAACCCTCTGAGTTCCCCAGCTATGTCTGGAAAGAATGTCCACACCACTGTGTAGGAGAGGGAATTTTAACAGAGCCTGACAGTATCACTATTGAGAGAATAAGAGTTTGGGACCTGGACGTGGTGCTGTGTGCTTGTGATCCCAGCACTCTGGAGGCTGAGGCAAGAGGATTGCCTTGGGTTCAAGGCCAGCCTGAACTATACAGCAAGATATTGTCTCAAAAAAAAGTGTGTGGGGAGGGGTAGAGTTCAGGAAGGTCAAGGCAGCTACATTTTCGGGGGGTTTTTTTGTTTTTGTTTTTTGTTTTTGGTATCAGAGATTGAACTCAGGATCTTGCACTTGCAAGGCAGATGGCGGAACCACTGAGCTAAATCCCTGGCCACATTTTCGGGTTTTTTGTTTGTTTGTTTTTGAGACAGGGTCTTGCTATGTCATCTAGGCTGGCCCTGAACTCACTAGCCCATGCTGGCCTGGAACTTGCAGCAATCCTCCCGCCTCAGCCTCTTGAGTGCTGGGATTCTGGGCATGCAGCACCATGTCCAGCTTATGGCATCTACCTTTACAGGGAAGAGTACCAAAGAGGATGGAGCCAAAGAGATGGAACTATGGAGAGGTGCAGAAGGGGCTGTGTGTTGAGGTAATCATTCATGCAAGGAGTCTACAAAGGCCCATACCAGATCTGCTTCCTCAACCCTGGGCTTCCCAGCCTCCAAAACTATAAGTAAGTATTTCTTGTTTAATAAGCACAGGCTGGGGATAAAAACATTTGAAAGGAGTAGGTGCAGCAATCTTCCAGAATGCGTATAAACTTGGGAATAATTTTGTCTTCCCACAAGTCAGAAAGGAGAGGCCTCCTCATGCACAGGGTCCTTGGAAGAATATTGGATACACAGAGGAGACAGATTTGTCCTAAAATCTGTTCTGGATCTACCTCAACAACATTTAAAACTAAGCCTTGGGCCGGGGATTTAGCTCAGTGATTCAGGCGCCTGCCTTGCAAGCGCAAGGTCCCAAGTTCGATCCCCAGTACCAAAAAAGAAGAGAAAAGGCTGAAGATACAGTTAGTAGTAGAGCAGAACTTTAGCATGTGTGAGGCCCTGAGTTTGATCCCCAGGACCAGAAAAAAACCTATTTTTTATTTTGGTACTGGGGATCGAACTCGGGTCCTTGTGTTTGCACAGCAGGCAGTGAAACCACTGAGCTAAATCCCCAATCCCAGGAAAAAACTATTTTAAATTTGAAGGGTTGGGGCTGGGGATAGTGGCACCTGGCTGTAATCACAGCGCTCAGGAGGCTAAGGCAGGAGGATCACCATGAGTTCAAAGCCAGCGTGGGCTAGATAGTGAGTTCAAGGCCACCGTGGAATACATAGTGAGACTCTGTTTCAAAAAACAACCAACAGTTTAAAAATAAAACAAAAAAACAAAAAAAACAACCAACGGGCCGGGGATTTAGCTCAGTGTTTTCACCGCCTGCTGCGCAAGCACAAGGACCTGAGTTCAATCCCCGGTACCAAAAAATAAATAAATAAAAGCAAAAAACCAACCAACCAGGGTCAGGGATTTACTTCAGGGGCACCGCGCCTGCCTCGCAAGCTCAGGGTCCTGAGTTCAATCCCCAGTACCAAAATAAAAAATAAAAAGAGATAGAGATGTAGCTCAGTGGTATAGCACTTTTCTAGCTTGTGTGAGGTCTAGGGTTCAATCTCCACTACCAATCAATCCCCAGAGAGAGAGAGAGAGAGAGAGAGAGAGAGAGAGAGAGAGAGAAGGGAGGGGAGGAGAGCAAAGGAGAGAAGAGGAGAGAAAAGGAAAGAGGAGGGGAGAGGAGAGGGGAGGAGAGAAGAGAGAGACAGAGACAGAGAAATTGAGAGACTGAAAATCTTAAAGCAGGGCTGGGGATTTTGCTCAGTGGCACCGTGCCTGCCTGGGAAGCAGAAGGTCCTGAGTTGGATCCCCAGTACCACCAAAAAAAAGGTTAAGTTCTTCAAAATATTAAATATAGAATTATCATGTGATCTAGGTAATTCCACTCTAGCTATATACCCAAAACAGTGAAATCAAGGACGCAGATACTTGTGCACCAATGTTCATAGCAGCAATATTCGAATAGCCACAAAGTAGAAATAACCCAAATGACCATCAAGAAATAAATGGATAGGGCCGGGGATTTAGCTCACTGGTGACGCCGCCTGACTCACAAGTGCAAGGTCCTCAGTTCGATCCCCAGTACCAAAAAAAAAAAAAAGAAATGAATGGATAAACAAAACATGAGCTGTAAAGGTACAAGATCCCAATGATGAATGTACCTAAAATGTACCAATACCTATATACCTAGGTATATCTCATCAGGTATACCTAAAATGTACCAATAAATAATAAAAAAAAACCATGAGCACATACATGGGTGTGTGGATTTATATTATATTATATATATGTGTGTGTGTTAGATTCTCCAACACCCTCCAAAAATACAGGGTAATTGTTTGTGGGAATGGGAAATGAAGAGTTATTGTTTAATGAATACACAATTTCAGTTTTATAAAATGAAAAGTTCAGGAAATGCAGGATGGTGGTAGTTGTATTATAAGGTGAATGTACCTAATGCCACTGAACTGTGCATTTAAAAATACTGGAGACCCCTACAGTTAGGTTCCAGTATCTTGCCCAATATATGACGCAGGCCTGAGGAAAAAAATACACTAAAAGACAGAACAAAGAGAGAGAAAGCGGGGTGCCAGGACGACCAATGCCAGTCCAACCTACAAAGGCCCTGGCCTGTCCCAGGCAGTGACTTTTATGGCAATCAATTGGGGTAAAGGCAAGCTACATGCAAGGGCAGGCCAACATGTGGTTTCTATGGAAATTAATGTAAACAAGGTCATAAAGGACAAGACAAAGCATTCTCATATTAGGAATAGTATAGACAAAATATATGGTTGTAATTAGAACATTGTCCTTCTAGTCAGAATGTTTAGTTGTGGGAATGCAATTTGGGTGCGAGTTACTCTGACCTCAGCATGTAGGCTTTGGCCAGACTCACTTCTATAAACAAGCCAGTTGTGGGGTTAACTCTTTACAGTCTGCTTTGGGCATAATCAATATTATGGTCCCCTGCATAAAAGTGGTTTAAATGGGGCCAGGGATTTAGCTCAGTGGCACCGTGCCTGCCTTGCCAGCACAAGGTCCTGAGTTTGATCCCTGGTACCACAAAAAAAAAAAATACTCAGGAGGCTGAAGCAAGAGGATCACTGTGAGTTTAAGGTCAGCTTGAACTACATACCAAGACCCTGTCTCAAAAAACAAAAATAATGTTAAAATGGTAAGTTTCATGTTAGGTTTATTTTTATGAAAATAAGGGTCTCACTATGTAGTTCAGGCTGGCCTTGAACTCAGTATGTAGCCCAGGATGGGCTCAAACTCATGGTGATCCTCCTGCTTCAGCCTCCAGAGTGCTGGGATTGCTGGCATGCACTACCATGCCCAACAGAAATTCTTTTTTTTAAGTAAAAAGGTTTTTGAAATAAGATGAAACTATAACTTTAGATAAACAGAAATCATGGAGGTAGATCTTGCTGAGATATTTTTAAGATGAGAATAAAAATACTGAATAACTCTAGATTTTATAATAGTTATAGTATGAATGTTAAAACTGTAAAAAAAAAATCACTAAAATATAGAAACAATCTAAAGCTTCTAACCAGCAGAAGAAAAGAAGTAGGAACATAGGAAACTATCAACCCAACATTAGACAGGAAACGAGAGGAAGGAAAAAGGATGCAAAGATTAAGAATGGCAAGGAGAGGGCCAGAAATTTAGCTCAGTGGTTCAGCTGCCTGCCTTACAAGTGAAAGGTCCCAAGTTTGATTCCTGGTACACGCGCCAAAAAAAAAAGAAAGAAAAGAAAAAGAGTGGCAAGGAGAAAATACAAATAAGAAGGCAGCAATAAGCTCAAATATATCAGTAATCAGAATAATAGTAAGCTGGGAGTGTTGGTGCATCCCTGTAATCCAGCACTCTGGGAGGCCGAGGGAAGAAGATCACAAGTTTGAGGCCAGCCTGGACAATTTAGTGACTTAGAAAGACCTTGTCTCTAAAAACAAAAAGGGCTGGGGATATAGCTCAGTGAGAAGGCCCTGGGTTCAATCCCCATACTGCAAAGAAAAAAAATTAAGACATTAATCTCACTTATTAAAAAACTAACTTTCAGGTTCCCTGCTGTATAAGACAGCCCGAATAGTGTGACTCAGTAAGGTTAAAGATACAGGTAGTAGGGCTGGGGATTTAGCTCAATGGTTCCACTGCTTGCCTTCGCAAGCACAAGGTCCCAAGTTCAATCCCCATTACCTAAATAAATAAATAAACAAACAAACAAAGATACAGGGAGTGTATATCAGTCAGACATCACTGACAGCCAGGAGACATACATCCCCAGAAGTGGACAGGAAGCCATTTTGGCAGGTAGGGTGGCAGGCTTCTGGCTGGGAGCTTTCTAATTATTCCAGTCATTTCATTCCTAGGGAAATATAGAGCCAAGCCACTGGCTGTGAGGTCACAGGTTACTTTGACTGTGAGAGTCAGTTTAAAAACCTTCTGCCTAGTGATGGAAAGAAGCAGCAAGGACTTTTCTAAGTGACGCACCATGGCCGTCTTTGGCCAGTCTGTCAGACTCAATCTTTGTCCTTGATTGTCAGTGGCGTACATGGCAAAGGAGTTTTCTTACTCAGGGATTTTGGGGACTCCCTAAGGAAAGGTTAGGGATCTTCCTACCACAGATTGCCCTGGAATTACCCTCATTTTTGCTAGCTGTCCTTGGTCCAGAACAGTGCTGCTCCTGGGTTTTCCTGCCACCTCTTCCAGGTTCTCCATATGTCCTCACCCCAGTGGACAAAGGTCCTCTCCCATTTTTAACTTTTAGTTTATTTTTTGTTGTTGGTGATTGAACCCCGGGGCCTTGTATATGCTAAGCATGTGCCCTACCTCTCAGCCCTCATCTTCTCCCTTTATTCCCCAAAGCTCTCCTTAGTCCAGCTTGTTCAGTTTAACATGACACAGAGACCATGGGCATGAAAAGCAAAGAGAAGCTCCCAGCTGCCCCTGAAAGTGGTTATTCTTCTGATTTCTGAGAAAGCAGAGCTGTATCCCTTCTGACCAGAGGGCTCCAGACCGTGCCACACCTTGGAACCCTAGTACCAGGAACAGGCTGGGGTCTGAATGATCCTTTCTTCTTCAGTCCAAAGTCTGCTTATTTCTATCCTAAATCCCTGGCCCTGGAACAATCCTTTTCCTTAGGGGAAACA